ACTTTGGTGTGAGGTTCTAATACAGCGAACGGGCTGGCCGCATGGGCGCTTTCGAAGTTTTAGCCATGTGTGACGTGTATACGAGCCAGTTACCCTTAGAACATTCTCCATGAAGACATTCCTCCCCTTAGGCAGATAGCCCTCGAGTGCTTTGCCGTGATAACATAAAACAAAAAAAAAAAAAAAAAACTTGTCTAAAAGCTCGCTATTTAAGTAGAAAAAACGGTTATTAGAGGTGTAGCACAATTAAAAATATTTGCATTTTTATTTCTCTGGACATTAACTGAAGATTCAAGGGTTTGTCCTTTACTGTAACAAGAATTCCCAGAATAAACTTACTTTTCGATTTCTAAAGGACTTAAGAGCAAAACTATTTCGTAAACAAGGTCATGTTTGAGATTACTTACATTTCACGTTTGGGATATTTTTTTCCTTTACAATAATGAGATATCCGGCAAGTTGCATGTTAATTATCCACTAAAGCGTCTGTCAGATTAACAGTGTTAAAATGGCCATTTTTTTAGCAATATATAGCTGATGACATATCTGAAGTAATTCTTCACAAACAAGTCCTTGGGGCTAATTCAGTGAACATAATTAACGAGTTCACGTAGGGAAATTATTGATATTTGACTTTTCTCATATAGTTTATGGTAAGGGCTGTTAGGTTGTAGGGTTCCACCCTTTTATGTATCAGCCTAAATGAGGAGGAACCTCATGAGCAGCTAAGCGAATAATCGCTTTAGTAACAGAGACGTAAACTCGAGAAGGGTTAACTACTCGTTATTACTCAAAATAAGAGTTTCACAGATGGCCTCTTTCTCACGGCGTACAGCAGAGCCTCTACTTGGGATTGAACTCAAAATAATAAGAAATAAGACTTAACTAAAGAGATATAGCCAAAGCTATTAAATTTCTAAGTAGTTGGCCCCTAAATATCGAATAAGATAGCGAAGCTATCAAAATAGCCTGTAATACGGCCGAGCGTAGTAACAGCATAGATATTCGTAGCCAAAAGGTAAACGCGCGCTAGTCAGAAACTCTTAGGCTCTCTCTCGAAGTCAGTGAAATTTCGACTTAAATACTACTCTTACCCAATTGCATAAAACGAGATTCTAAAAACACATTCTGGTAGGAAATTGTAAACTGAAACTAGGGGGGGATAGGAAAGTAGCTTTAACTAAAGATAGCTGTTAAAAACTTAGGATAAACCTTACAAGGTTTTAGATTTTAATTCCTTATAGTTAAGTTCTGAAGTTTTAAGTAGAACGCTTCAGTTTGGCTTACGCACATGATTTTTAGCTTAAGCTAAAAATTAAATGTAATATTTATCACATATCTATTGCTTAAATACATCAGCTTTACTAAAATGTAATATTTAGTTTAATCTTCTAAGCATTATTGGAGAGAAAAGTTTTCTCTTGCATTAATAGCTCTAGAAAATAGATTCGTATAAAGTATATTATTTATAGACAGGAATTCTAACATTTATACTTTCTTTTGTTTAATAACGCCAGCAAATTGATATTAAAAAAAGAAGCGCATAATTTTAGTTCTGGTGTTACTATCTGTATGTATATATTATGCGTGTTATTAATTTTTATTCATGTCGGTGTGCGTTTTAGAGACAATGTTTCAACAAATTTGCAGCCATAACTAAGGTAATTTAAATAAATTGAAACTTCTTTTATTCATTTCTTACAAAATTACAGACACAACTTAAAAAATGCAATGCAAATGATTATGAAATTTAACCGCTCAGTCAAAATACATTTCGTAGGGTATTCAGTCACACAGTGGGCCTCTCCCTAAGATTTGAGCTGCACGACTGTATAATTACTATACTGTTGCCAAGGTATGCTTTGTAATTAAATGCTTTTTTCAACTGAACAACGTATATAATTAAGTACTGATTGTTTAATCGTTTTGTATTGACATCATTCGAGTAATAAAATTCGTACAAGGCAAATTGCTGAGCTAATACTTCAAAAAACAACTCAAAAGAAATACAGAAAGGCCAAAATACCAAAATGTATCTTGTATACCTAATTTTCGTTTTAGAAACTTAGGTGTGCAAGATACTAAGTGCATCATAAACAACATATTTCGGTATTATCTCTTTAGACGTTTTCATTTAGCAGTTTTAACAATAAACGTGTTTGAACCAACAGGAAAAATGAAGTAATAACAGGAAAAAGGAAACTTTTTTTTCAATGCGCTGATCTACTATCTTTTATTCATGGCTTCTAAATTAGTGAATTTGTAAACTTTGCCTAGGGCAAGTTATTTCAATGTTACCAGCACATTTCTCTTAGTCCTTACCATTATTTCAATAACGTAAAAATATTAAGCTCATTTGTGTTAAGATTTAGATCTTTAAAATTTTTATTTAACCAGTATTTACATGCATATTTGCATGCTGCATGTCAATGTTGCAAATTGACATGCTGCATGTCAATGTTGCATTTGCATGCTGCATGTCAATGTTGCATTTGCATGCTGCATGTCAATGTTGCAAATCTTGCAACATTGACATGCTGCAAGAATTTTTTCCTCTCAGTTCATAAGGTAAAATTTCATATGTTATACATAAGAGTGGTATAGAAAATTTCGTGAATATTAGTCAACATACAAATAGCTCTTAAGAAATCATCAGTTAAAGAACTGAACATTATGCAGAAAAATATGTTTCTAAACTAAAGACCAGAAATTGTCGAAAATCTAATGGTTCCGAACATTTTCTCTGCTATTCAGCTTTCCTAAAATTCCTTAATTTCAGTGACAGACAAGCTCTTTTTTCTTCCAAAAAGAACGATTTGTGATACTTGAACAGGTGTGTTTCTGATTGAACACATATCTCCACACTAAACATCCTTATCGCTTTCCAATAAAGCAAACACACTTCTGAAACTTGAGTGACATTTGGTAATTGTAGCATTCTGAAACTTGAGTGTTGATCAATCGGAGACTGAATCTAAGATGTCGGAACTCCTGAGAAAACTTAATTTAAAACTTACTAAGACGCAGCATTTGTTCCGAATCCATGCGTTTCCCATGCAACCCCGAAAACATGTTGTCCGATTCGGATGTTAAACTGTTTAATAATTCATGTCCGATGCATTCGTGACTGTCACCTTCGCCGCTTGAAAGTAAACGATAGATCATTGAGCCTAGCAATCTGAGACAAACTAGGATTGGTTTGATTAATATTTTCCTTGAAACTACCGCTTCATCGGACTACATCCGCTCTAAATTTCCTCCGCTCTATTCATCGTCGTCATTTCACCACCAACTAATTAAAGTTTGACTTATCTTATTCCGCATCTGGTACATGAGCATTGAGATATCTATATTTAGTCTTCGCTTGTGTATTATTAAGTTTCCCTGAAGAGTGAATTAAATATTTTACTTAATAATCTTCATAAATGCATCTTATATTTTTGTTATTTGATCTTATTGGAAGATTACGATTAGCACTTTTGGATCAAGTACGTGTATCACTTTGCTCTTATTTTTCTGCATCTACCTAATAGTAGTATATAGACTGCATCTACCTAATAGTAGTATATTGATTCCTGGAGAAGCAGTCTAATATACGAATGAGTACAGAAATTAATATTTCAAAAATTTGCAAATATCCATGCTCATTAATAATTGAATACACTTCACCTTTAAAAGAAATGTACGCATTTAGAAAGCTAAGTATTTTAAAGCATGCTGTTAAATTAAAGATTAACTTACATAAACTATCGTTTTTCTTATATCGCTTGCTATTCCGAGGATTATTCTAAGAAGTTCATTTAGAACTAACATTTAATTAATTATTCCCATTTTATCGAGTTCGTGCAAATTAATACCATCGGAGATAAACGAATCAGTACTCAAATTTACCACTCACAAGTAATATTTCATTAAAACTTTTACTGCTACAAGTCGTAGGCTTTACTGAGCTGCAAAATTAAAGATAATAATGAAAGGAATTAACCATCGCTGTTTGAGTAAAAAGAAAACTAAATCTAACAGTTAACATAAACAACTACAAACATAAGGTTAACTGAAATTTTAAGCTTTAAACGAATAGCCGTCACCAACTAAAACAAACTCTGAAAAACTATCAAATCACGCACCAGTAAGGCAACCAGTAAAGCTAAACACATGGGTCCCACTGACAACGGAATAAACAAATACTAAATGTTGCCAATAAAAAAAACTAAACAGCAGCAGCATGCTCAAACTACACTTAATGTTTTTATTCTGGCCAAGGAAAAAAGGCAAAGATCACAAAAGCAGTTAACCTGAAATTAACTGGTTTCTTAAACAACACCTTAAAAGGCAAACTTTGTTTGTTTATGTATTCGTATCTAAACTTTTATGCAGCAGTTAGCAAGTGATGATAAAGTTGATCTATTAGCTGGGAATTTTACGTTTCATAGAGAGTTTACAGTAAGCTAATTTATTAGAGTGTCATATTTAATAGAGAGTTTACAATAAGATAATTTAGAGTGTCATATTTATTAGAGAGTTTAAGTCTTTTTGTCAGCAGTCACAAATTTTAAAAAACAGGAAGATTATAAAAGGCAGTAACTTTGTACATTATTTCCAACATATAATTTCATTATTGATGTAATTTTTCTCTCATATTTTAGTCTGCACTTATTAATCTTTATTGAAGCAGTACAGAAACACGTCATTTTCAAGAATATTTTGTGGAAGATTCTAAGGTACTGTAAAGTGTATAGTTATTTAGATATACTCTTGAAAAAGCTTTTATAAGGATTTCCTTTATTCTGAATTTCTTAATAATGGCTACAAACGACACAACTCTAAAAGTAAATTTTATTTTAAATCCTTTTCTGAACTTTCAGAAATAAAATATTGCATTCAGTCTTCCTTGTAGCTCATTTGTTTCTAAAAGTACCAAAAAAGTTTTGAACCCCTGCAAGTTACTTTTTGTATTTGCTTTATTTTTTTTTTGTTTTTTTGTTTTTTTGTTTTTGAAGACGTGCCCCTGGAGATTCCACAAAGCTCAGACAGAAGTCATAAGAAATGATTGGCTCAACAGGATTTCTAGGTAAGAAGCATATAGGGCTGAAAGCTCGGATGACCTCAGTGGTCTCTCCAGAGTCCCATGATTGGCTTAGTTGCCATAGAGATTCCTTCTTATGACTTCTGAGTGGTCGGACATTTTGGAATGTGCACATATGTAAGAAAACAACAGACTAGCAAAGAATAATCCCCACAGAAAGGATAGAAAAACGAAAATGTTGTGGACAGAAAGAGAGTGCTAGAAAAGATTTTAGCGCTTACATCGAAATGTGGAGTACAGAATAAAATACTTTCGTTTAAAAAACAGAGAAGATATATCGATAAAAGTTTTTCTTAGAAAACTTTATTATACATTCTATTATATGCCTATAATAAATATTTCAATTTCAAAAAATCTTTGTCTCTTCAATTTTAAAATTATGCAAATGTATAAAACTGCTACCTTTAAAAATACTTAATTTCTGTAAGATAATAAATCAAAACGAGAAAAACTGAACCATATATATAATAAGATTTAATGCGCAAGTCCAGTCTGCACATCTCTACACTTCTGTATATTCCAGAAAGACGTAATTAAAATCATGCAAAATACATGTAAAACAAATTCATTCGTGTACGGATATTTTAAATATACGAATGAAATTATATCATTGCATACTTCAAGTTACTAATAGTATTAATGAATACATGAGATTCATATCTTTCAGCTAAACAGAGTTTTTATTCGATACATGGAATTAAGTGAACTAAGCTAATATTCTTTGAAACATATAAATAAGTTGCTTTTTTTTTAATTTGAAATTTATTGTGGAAAAGAAACTTCTGATAATAAGGATAAAATATTGAGCTTAGGAAAAACAGTAATAACTAAACTAACGGAAGATGTTAAACAGACAGGTCACCTTATAGCCTATGAAAACTATTTGACATTTTTTAGGCTTGCAAAAAGTCTACTTATAAGTGGTCTGTTTTCTATGAGGACTGTGAGGCCGCAAAGGAAGGATCTTCCACCAATACTGAAGGCTAATAGCAAACTACAAAGAGGGAAATCAGTGTTCCTAACTAAGGAAGGTGTTGCTGAAATAAAGTGGATGGACAAAAAGGCTGTTACATTCCTGACTACTGCACATAATTCAGCGATTTTACATCTGTAAATCGTACATAAAAGGATGGTACTAAAACAAAAGTACCTTGCCCTAAAGCGGTTGCCGTATATACCGATATCATGGGAGGGGTTGATTGCTTCGATCAAAGAAAAGAAAGGTACCAAATAGGAAGAAGATCTGTAGAATGGTGGCATCGTATTTTTTATTTTCTTAGTGTTCTTGGCATCGTAAATAGTTTTATACTGTGGCAAGGAAACAAGAGAAATAGAAGTTTAGACCAGCTAACATTCCACATGGCATTAGCTCGTCAACTCATAGACCGATATTCCTCGAAAAAAGAAAGGCCGTCTGGCTAGCTTCCAAGCAAAAAGGTGTGCAGTTCCGGATGACGTACGCTTAGTCAGTGTGGGAAATCATATGCCAAAGATGGTTTCCAACTATAGACGATGTAAGAAATGTAGCACAAAGGCCCAAGAAAAGAGGACCCGCTATATGTGTGCAGTATCTGAAGTATACTTGTGCATTGCAATATGTTTCTCATCTTTTCACTGCAAATAATCGCCTTTAAATTGAATTTTCTCTATGACCATAAAAGGTCCCGTGTACTTCCCACCGCTAAAATTTAAATGTAAACAAAAAATTTGGCAAAAAAAAAAAAAAAAATATATTTCCTTAAATGCTATTGTTTAATTGATAATAAAACATAAAAAAACGGGAGAAATTCAAAAGAGAAATAAATGGGCCACGAAAGGGTTAAGCACCGGACTAGTCAATGGCAACAAATCCTATGAGAAATAGTTGCTTAGCTCTTTCACAGTTTTGATTGAAAGTAACCCAGGAGGCAGAGTCCGATACCCCTCTTTCTCTCTGGCGCAGCCCTTTTTTGTCATAAAAATCTTGTCGATTAGGTGGATGGGGCTGCGCCCTATTTGTACCCCTCTTTCTCTACTAACAATCTTTTGAGAGTATTTTCGAATCTACAAATATCAAGCACCTTCATTCCTCCAAAACTCTACAATTACAAAATTTAGCGCCTTATCGGTGACTTGAAACTTAACAGATAGGCTTGTAAAAGACTTCCCCTTGCGTAGGCTTCGAATCTAGGCGAACGGGCTGGTTGCATGGGCGTTTTCGTGGTTTTTCCCCATGTGTAACGTGTATACGAGCCAGTTTCCCTTAGAAAGTCCTCCACGAAGGCATTCCTTCCCTTAGGCAGATAGCCCTAGTGTGCTTTGCCGTAATTAAATAAACCATAACCAAACCTTTCTCCCTAGGCAGAAAGCTCTAGTGCGTTTTGCCATAATCAATTAAACCAAACCAAAACGAGACTTTTAAGCCCAACAGGGCAGCCAAGCGGTAACGTCGCGGAACCCAGGATCGATTCCTGGTGAAAGGCCTGCCCTTATGGTTGGCTTTTGTGGTTTTTGCCATGTGTTAAGGTGGATACAAGCTGAAGTCCCTTAAAAAGTCCTCTACGAATGCATCCCTCCTCATAGACGGATAGCTCTCTAGTTGTTTTGCCTTTACCAATTAACCTAACCTAACATCCACCTAAAGTTCGTTTTCTGCAAAGCAGAATTAATTTACCCGTCGTTCTCTTTCAAAATATGCAATAAATACATTTTTCTATAACTATGCGAAACCTTAATTTCTTTATTAAACTAAGTCTGAAACTAATCTCAAGTATTTTGCCTTTTGATTAAGTATGGGTGTTGAAATATTCTGTACTCTTTCCAGAAGTTAATGCTAGCTGCTCGAGTATCTGAAAATTCTCTCTTCACTAACGAAATTGTCAGAAAATTCATTTGATGTCAAATGAGCTTTTTTTCACACTCTTATAGCTCTTGACTTGCTTTTTCTCCGCTTATTCAAAGTGTCATTTCTGGTAAGTATCTCAGTGTTTAGTAAAGAAAGTAATACCTGTAATCCCAGAAAAGCGAACTTTTATTTCCTTGTTGAATTGAATCTTCCTGAATCCATCTGTTAGTCATGCCATTTCAAGAAGTCGTTGTGTACGCATTAAATGTTCTCCTCAGAATTTAATGCCAATTGCATAAAATACTGAAGCTTATACAACTAAATTAATTATCTGGAAAGCTCGACAGCCTGCTTGATTTTATCTAAAGCCACACATGTAATGAATAATTGCCCACATGAAGACAATTTGTGAGCCACTCTGACTGTGCTTAACAAACAAATTATTTTCCATCAGCCATGTTGCTGGAGATTATTAAACAAAGATAATTATTTTACTCTGGCATTAAACCGTCTCTGGTTTCAAAAATTCTGAGTGAACACGACAGCAGTAATGAGTTACATGTCGCAACTAATTGATTTCGCATTTTTAATTGCTTCGCAAACTGCGCAACGCAGAATTTTTCGGTTAGAGCATTCTGCGGAACTATCTTTAGTAACCCTAGCTCAGTTTTCCTTGTTTGCTCACGCTTAATGTCTAGTCTTAAAGATGTTTACTGTAATTTAGATTCATGCTGCTCCTTTTTATTACATTACTGATGTTCATTATGCACAGCGCGCGATGTTTGATAAAGGGGATGCTTTTTTCACTCGGCTTTGCAAATAAGTTTTCTTACACGCAACTTAACTAAGTTTAAATTAAAACACGTTAAATGGATTTATCAGGTAGGATACGCAAAACGTAATTTCTGCTCGTAATGTGACAAAAGATAAACGATAATCTGATGCATTTTAATTTATGGTATGATAAGCTTATTATCTACATTTAGCTAAAAGACGTTATTTGAATATATTTTATCAAAATATTTGTCTGTTAACTTGCATCGCAATTTAAATTTGCAATCATTAAATATTCTTTTATGTATAAATAAATCTTTTCCTCTAATTTATACATAGAATATATGAATACTAAATATATGAATATCAATCTTACTTAAAATTTTTATGCAATATAATAATACCAAAAGAAGGAATTAAGTTAAGTAAGAGTTAAACATCGTCTATTTCCTACAAATCTCCTAACATTTAAGGCCCCATGTTTAAATAAATTATTCCGAAACTATTTATAGAGATTTTATTTTTCCGGTCACCATATGCGTGCTATAACACCCGATTAAGAATTTTATCCACATGCAGATTAAGAATTCTACAAGTGGTTTCCGTCTCCATGAAGACAGACACTAGTTTGTTGAAAAAGACGGACACAGTAATTGAATCCATTAAAATGAATACAGTTTATCTACTAAAGTGAAGTCTATATAATTTCTTCTTTTGTCACATTTATATAGATCAGGTGGATTTTCTCCGTGACCTATAAGATAAAGATTTAATTCAGAATACTTTGTTTTTAATAAATCTTAGTTTATATAGTGTATATGTTACGGTGAAACACCGGAATCTAGATAATGTCGACTTTCACCGGTGAATGTCAACATTCACATAGTCTCTTGGTGTATGTCCGAAATATTTTCCAAATACTCTTATTTCTGACTTACACCGGTCAATGTCGACATTCACCATGTACTAATGGTGAATGTTGAACATATAACAATATTATATTTTTTTCTCCGCAATTCAGTCGCGAATAAACGCACTTGAAACTTGAAATAAGAACTTAAGAACATGAGAACCTAAAACACACAATACATTCAAAATGAGAAAGGAAAATAATAGAAGTTAAAAACTTACTTAATTATACAGTACGCTCTAAATGAGAAAATAAAATAACAGTAATAAAAAACTTACTAAATTATGTGATTCAAATCTTATTTATTGCAACAACTTAAACTATTATGGCATTTTATGACCTCTCTTTTCGACTTTCACCAGAGCATATCTGTGATTGTCGGCATACACCGGTGGGAGTCCGAATATACAAGAATGTAGTGAAATATTCGGTCTTTCACCGACGTATTTGGTGAATGTTGATATTCTCCGGTGAAAGTCGGCATTCTCCAATTTCGGTCTTTCACGATAACATATGTATCAATCAGTTTTAACAAAATGTTTAGAAAGAAAAGAGAATACTTCATGAAATAGAAGAAAATGAGCGATACCTAAAGGAAAACGTTTGTTATTGAACTGAATTTCATGGGAAACTACCTACCTAATATAAAACTATGTGAGCCGTTTCTACCGTTTCAAATTTAATAATGGAGGAATTACTCTTGACAGCACAGATAACGATTTCTCATTAGACAAGGAGAGATGCTTCTTATTAAAGTGACATC